TATATATATATATATATATATAAAACGTTTATACTATCTATACTATTTGTATGTACATGGCATTTTTATTTTTAAATTAGAAATTGAGTCTATTTGTTATTGTTGTTATATGATTTAAATTATATTCTTGCAATTAATCATGAATGAAGTTACCGTCAGTTTCAGCCTCATTTATATGATATTTATAAATACTTGGCTTATATGCAAAATGCGTTGCCAGTGAATTGTTCACAATTTTGTACGTGATTTCGCGTTGTCTTTATACATATATTCTGTACAAAAAGATACATTACTTCTTATTTTCAATGTAGAACTTGTAAATAATGTCGTTAAGTATGTGGAATTATATTCTGGCGAGTGCTCATATTGCACATAGCGAATAAATTGTATTTAAATAAAATCTTCTCTATATACATGATATACAAAAAACTCTAAAAATTAGCGAAATTTTATTTTAATGGAATATTTTCGATTGAATATTCATCTTAAAAATATTATTTAATTCATAACATTTAGTACATACGATGTTAAATACAATGTTAAATGATTCACTAACATCTTTTTCAATCAAATTTAATTAGAAAAAGAATGAAAAAAGAAATGGTATGAAGACTATCTCTTCATTACATCAATGTTGGCTATTCACGCACAGTCTATATATATAATATGAAATATACAAGCTAAAATATACAAACATTTATATACATAGTATCTCAGCATTATCCTTTGAACAATTGTTTAAATCGACATTCATTTAAAAAAAATTCTTACATTATAAAAAAAGAATAAAAGATTTAAAAATAAAAGAATGAATTCATTTTTAGAGGTACAAATAGAAAAAAGAAAATTAAAATAATTTTTCAGTTAATCTTATTTTTTAAATTACATTAAAATGATTTTATTTTTAATACTGTACTGTATGTTTGATAAGCATTTAAATAGCGTCAGATTTACACAACCTTAATATGATTTCAAATTTATATATTAGTTATATTAAAGAATAAAAGAATAAATAATTTTATAATAAATAAAAGGATACTAATGGGACAATATATGTATAAATTAGATAGACGAATAATATGAAACGGCTTTCATCATTTGATTTAGATTACACATTAACAATTTATATTATACTCGTAAATATCCAACATTGGTTCTAACTGACTGTATACAAATTTGTACAGTGAGAATATTAGTACTGTAATTATGTTTCTTTGCACTGTACATTTTTACTTTCACTGCACAACTGCGTCTATTTAATATATATAAGATTAAATAACACATTCATACTGTGAAAATTTGTGAACTCTATTCGAAAATTTCTCTTCATTTAAACAATTTAAAAAGAATTGAAAAGAGAAGAAAATTTTTCAACATTTAGTATCAATACGTATAAAAAAGGCCTTTCATTTAGTATATCACATAATAATCTCTCAAATCTACGAGTTAATATTCAGGTACTAAGATATCTGAAATAGATATATATACGTGTAACATTGTTACACTAGCATTCGAGTTGTGAAAATATTGTAAGGTTTTGGGTAAAGTGAATAAAGAATTCTAAGTCTAGCTGTATTTTTTTATTTATATAACAAGATTTATGTAATCCATAACAATAGATTAAATCGGCATTAATATGCTTATGAAATATAAGTAAAGGCTGATAAACTAGAATAGAATCAATAAGTACATACGAAATAAAGTTTATTTTCCAAATATTTATAATCACTATGTACACG